ATTGACAAAAGACTATTTATTAGCGAACTTTTTTTATGCATGAACGGTTTCGAACTGTTTCAAGCAAAAACAAACCTTATACCATATCACAAGAGCACATGGTACTTCGTAGGTCTATTCGGCCATATGATAGTAATAAGACGGCAGTTCAACCATTTTAAGCAAAATTAAACAATAAGACAAACGCATTGTTTTTTTTTAACAGGAGACTTGTTTTCCAGAAATTTATTTACAACTTGAGTTTGTGAGCGACCGCAATGGGTGCTATTATTTGTTACTTATTAGACTATTTTTCCACAACATGATTGAAAACCCACAAACTAAAAAGAGGACCATGTACAAGTTCAAAAAAAGGTTGTGTACCCCTAAAAATTTCAAATTTCCAAAATATCCAGAAATGAAGCTGCATGCATGAACTACTCGCAAAATAATATTTTGTTCTGGATAAATTTTCCAAAAAAGCAATTTGAGCGAGTTATAACGATTTAAAAAAAAGACACGACTCGCGTGTCATACGCCACACAAAAGTAATCGATGGCACGCCTGGCGTGTCACCCGCACTGAACCGGTTAAACTCCGGTCCGTGTGGAGATACAACTACGTTCCGTTTCCATCCCGTGCACGTGCTGATTCCGTCCTGTGTGCAGCGACCTTTAATCTACAATTTTACTCACTCCGCCGTAACAAAATCGACCTGTCGCGACTTTGTCGACTTCTTTCTCGCGCGTTTTGGCTACGGCTTCTTCAAATTTATGATTTAAATTAACATATTATGTAAAGTAAAGCCGCTTCTCATGAAGATCCTTAAATAATTTCTTGCATACCTCACACTTGAATGGTTTCAAGCCAGTGTGGATCTGAGATAATCGTTGATTTTTTAAATAGAATAAGGGTGACATACTAGCACACAGTCCAACTGATGGTAAGTGAATGCTGTGGCCCATTGACAAATATTAAGAATCCTTATCCTCAATTGAGAAGTAAAATGCAGATGCGTTGTCACCATGAGGACTGAGATGGAATGCATTGTTACTAGTGAAAGCGGTCGCCGGTTCTCTGCACTCACCATACGAAACATAATTTTCTCACGAAAGCTGCTATTTTATGCTGGTATTCTGTGAGAGCGTGGTCCTACCCACCGATCCATACGTGCTACAACCACAATATAGCTGCAACGTGGCTCTACCACGTACAGAAAGACACCACCACGCAGCATCATGTAGTGATATAGTTATGGTGCCGTGTGGTGATGGTGTAAGACAATGCACTACCCCATATCGTCCCGTGGGTGTCGCGCCGCGTCTCCCTGATTAAAAGTGAAAATAATAAAAAACCGCGGTTGCCAACCCACGTGCATGGCAACTATGGCAAATATGACGCAATCCACGGGGGAATCCTATGTTCAACAGAGTAGTTTTAAAGGCTGTAACGTTAACGATAAACGTCGTAGCGAAAAAGGAAAAACGTAAACTACCATTTAAATTTTAAAAAAACCATGAAGGTCTAGTCTCTTTGCACTAACCTTCATTCACACATTCGGTATTTATTTTAAAGTTCCAATATTTTTGGCTTTCTACCGACTTCAAAAAGTAGGAGGTACTCAATTCGACTATGTTCTTTTTTTATGTTTATTACCACATAACTTTTTTCTGTATGAACAGATTTCGATAAATCTTTATTATATATTCTTTATTTGAAAGCTGGTGCTTCACATGTAGCCCCATATAAATTTGATCAAGGTCTGACCAGTAGTTTTTGAATTATTCTTAATAGTTTATATTGAATTCAGTTGTACAAAATTTTAAATGAGGTATTGAATTAACTTCTTCAGAATAAATGCAGTTTCAATTTGCACATAAGGCGCGGAAAGGTTTTACTACTCGTTATATAATTACATCACAAATTCACAAAAAATACTTAAATTTTTATCTGGTACACACATATTTATATAAAACAAGTTTACACAATATTGTACATATTTTACTAGATAGCTCACGAAAAAGGTTTTGCGCCAGTGTGTGTTTTTAAATGTCTTTGCAAATGACTTTTTGTAATACATCTATATGTTATAGATTATCAAAATAATGTGTACTACTAGCTCTATTAGGTGTGATATGGCAATGCTCATGTTTACTCTGTGGTAATGTAGAATGACTTGTACCTTTTAAAAATAAATGTCAGTCTTGTCACAACTACTACCGCGTTTCAATAGGTTATGGGCCCAGTCCCGCATTTTTCCAAGTCAATAAGTGTTTAAAATTAGTTTTATCTTTCGTTTTTTGAAACCATGTCGTCATCCAGTTATTTATTAAGTGTACCAAAGTTGAAAGGACGCGAAAATTATGATGACTGTGCGTTTGCCGTAAAAAACTTTATGGTGGTAGAAGGCGTTGATTTGGACAATACCTAGTCAGGTCATAAATTCTGTCACATGTTTAATATAAAATAATTGAAACAAGTTTATTCATTATGTAACCATTTATATACCAAAATGAACTTAACAAAACATAGATTTTTATGACACTAAAGTTTATTCAAAATGACCTCCGTGATTTTGAATACAGGCCTTCAATCTGCGCGGCCAGTCGTCTATCGCAGCACGAACGAGGTCCATGTCAATATCGGCGGCTGCCTTAATCAAACCTTGAGTGACTCCAAATTGGGATGAGGCTTGATGAGGGAGCACGCCTTTTCCTCCAAGTGTTGCCATATCTTGTAATCTAACGGATTCAAATCTGAACTGGAGGAGGGCCAGTCTTCGTGCCGGATGAAGTCGATTTCACGCGCCGCCAGCCAGTCTTGTATGCTCTTCGCTCTATGAGCTGGCGCCGTATCTTGTTGGAATACCCAGTGCCTGTTATTGAACATGGTTTGAGAAACAGGTTCCACAAGGTTCGTCAGGACTGTATTTTGACACACAAATGCATTCGTTTTTACACCTTTCTCACAAAAATGTACCTCTGTTAAGCCCCAATAAGAAACTCCCAACCATACCATGAGCGAGGATGGAAAATGACCTCGTTGGACACGCGGAATACGGTTGCTCGCTTCTGCACTACTGTGTCATTTTGTTTGTTGTAGCTTTCTTCTACGGTAAAAATTTTTTCATCCGAAAAAAGAATTTCCCGATTTTTTTTCCCGCGTGCCGCTTCAACAAAGCGCAGCATCTCTTCAGTCTCAGGTCCATTAGACGAGCATTCAAACGATGTCCTGTTTTTCTTCGATATGCCCGAAGCCCTAAGTCTTCATTTAACACCCTTTTCACCGTGGTTCTGCTTAACCCCATCTGAAGGGCCAACAGTTTCTGCTTACGTTTGGGATTTCTTTGAATTCGCGCCTTCACAGCTTTTATGACTGCTGGAGTCCTAACAGACCGAGGGCGACCACTTCTTGACCTGTCATCTACACTAGTCTTCATTGTATCGTTTGATGGTACGATAAACGAATCTTTTGGTTATATTCAAATTTTTCAGTATGTCAAAAATTTGAATTGGCGCGTAACCGCAACGATGCAACGCAATAACTGCAACACGGTCTTCTTTAAGCGTCCACTCCATATTTAAAAATGAGTAAAATTCTAAAAAGTATACAGTTTTATTTTCATGAACAATTCGAAATTAGAATTCAATAAACTTTTTTGTGGCCAGCATTCTAAAAGAAAAGTTTTTACTGTGTGACAATACTTATGACCTGACTAGGTATTTCACAGGATTTGAGTGACAGTCAGCAAGTGAAGGCCAAAGCAAAGCTGGTTATGACCATCGACCCTTCGTTGTACGCTCATATTAAGATGGAGATAACTGTAAACGCGTTGTGGAACAAGTTACGGCAGCTATTCGATGACACCGGATTCACTAGGAAAATCAGTCTACTGCGAACTTTGATATCCATCCGCTTAGAAAATAGTGAATCCATGACAAGCTACGTATCTCAAGTGGTTGAAACGGCACAGCGTTTGAAGGGAACAGGGTTTGAAATCAATGAAGAGTGGATTGCATCATTGCTTTTGGCAGAGCTTCCAGAAAGGTTCGAGCCAATGATAATGGCGATCGAGGACTCCGGTTTGGTCGTTAGTGCAGACGTCATCAAAACGAAGTCAAACGAAAGGTGGCAGCACTGTTAATTCCAAGAAAAAGACAAACGTCAACGTCAAAGTCAAAAAAATGTCATCAGAAAGTAAACAAATAAAATGTTATAAATGCAAGAAAATTGGACACTATAAAAACCAATGTCCAGAATTGAAACTTAAGGAAGCAGGTGCTTTTAGTGTAGCATTCCTTAATGGAGAATTCAGTACTGAAGATTCGTATATTGACTCTGGTGCCAGTGTCCATATGACGGCGAACCGCGACAGTTTACGGGATATGCGGAAACACGAGATAAATGAAATAGTTGTGGCGAATAAAACATCTATGCCAGTTATCTGTGCCGGTGATACACTATTAACTACATGTGTAAACAACGATCAGTTTGACATTTGTGTGAAAAATGTGTTGTACATACCCGACCTCACAACTAACCTCCTATCTGTTAGCCAGCTCATAGCAAATGGAAATACAGTTTCATTTGAGAAGAATTGTTGTAATATCCGTAATAAGCAGAATAAGCTGATTGGAGTAGCAAGTTTAAAAAATGGAGTGTACAAACTAAACACAGTGAAGTCAGTGGAGTTAGCAGCTTCGGCAGTACACACATCAGAAGCAAGCCTGTGGCATAGGCGACTCGGGCACATCAACAGTAGTGACTTAGAGAAAATGAAGAATGGTGCAGTGGAGGGTGTATCCTATAAAGATAAAGCAAACATCCAGAAATCCAACTGCGTTGTGAGGGTAAGCAGTTCCGCTTGGCTTTCCCATCAGCCAATCATAGGAGTGAATTCCTGTTAGAGGTGGTGCACTCAGATTTATGTGGGCCTATGGAGTCAAAATCTCTTGGCGGGGCCAGATATTTTCTTCTCTTTGTTGATGACGCCAGTCGAATGTTTTTTGTATATTTTTTAAGAGAAAAGAATCAAGCATTAAAGTACTTTAAGGAATACCAAAGTTTGGTGGAGAACCAAACGGGAAATAAAATTAAAGTGCTCAGAACAGATAATGGAGGAGAATTTTGTTCCCAGGAGATGGAAAATTATTTGAAAACTGAAGGGATAGTTCATCAAAAGACCAACCCGTACACCCCCGAGCAACATGGCCTCTGTGAGCGCTTCAACAGGACAATAGTTGAACGTGATAAATGCTTACTCTGAGGCTAAATTAGAAAAAAAAATTTGGGCAGAGGCAGTAAACTCGGCAGTTTACCTTAAAAATAGGACGCCGGCCTCAGGTCTAGGAGATATTACACCATTTGAGAAATGGACATGCAGAAAACCTGATTTAAGTCACGTCAGAGTATTTGGTAGTCCTGTAATGGTACATATACCAAAAAATAAGAGACTTAAATGGGACAAAAAGGCTGTCAAGTATATCTTAGTTGGTTACCCAGACAATGTAAAAGGGTACAGATTATACAACTTAGAAACTAAACAAGTTACTATGAGCCGGGATGTGACTATTATGGAAATAGAAGAAACCCCAGATAATGCTCATATAATAGTGCAGGAATATAAGACTGATATACAGGATTCTCAATTAGTGGAGGAAGAAACAAAAGAGGAAAGTAGTAGTGCTTCAGACTTGAATGATCTCACCTATGTACCGGAGTCTTTCAGTTTGTCCTTACCATCAGAAGACTCATACCACACGTTAGGTGAGGAAGAACATTGTGAATTAAGTGCAGAAGAAGAGTTACCATGCAGACGCACAAGAAAACCAGTAGAGAGGTATGGTTCCTCAAATCTTAGCATAGCTGACAAGCAGAAATCTTGGAATGATGATTTGACATATGAGGAGGCGATGAAAGGGCCAGATAAAAAAATGTGGAAGCAAGCAATGGAGCAGGAACTGAAAGCTTTTGAAGAAAGCCAGGCTTGGGAACTGGTGGATAAAAAAGAGGCAGACAGAGTGGTTTAGTGCAGGTGGGTGTTTAAAGTGAAACATGAAAGTGACAACAAAGTGCGATTCAGAGCTCGTTTAGTTGCAAAGGGCTTCACCCAAACCGAGGGTGTAGACTATAGTGATACCTACTCTCCTGTTCTTAGATACTCAACTCTGGGGTTGTTATTTGCAATAAGTGTTAAATTAAATTTCAAAGTCACCCATCTAGATGTAACAACTGCATTCTTAAATGGCTGTCTAACTGAAAATGTGTACATGCAAGTTCCTCCTAACTTAAAATGTAAAAGTAATATTGTTTTGAAATTGAAACGTGCTATATATGGGTTGAAACAATCTGCCAGAGCCTGGAATCAACAACTTAATGATTGTTTACTAGCATTAGGTTATGTAAAGTCAAAACTAGAACCATGCTTGTATAGTAAAAAGAAAAACAAGGAGCAGATTTTTGTAAATGTGTTTGTCGATGATTTTATCATATTTTCAAATAGTAGCACTATGACAATTAGACTTAAAAAAAAGATTTAATGTTAAATTTCAAAATTAAAGATTTAGGGCAAGTAAAAAATTATTTGGGTATGAGGGTTAGGATGTATAAAGATGGCAGCATATCATTGGATCAAGAGCAATTTGTTGATAATATTCTTAAGAAATTTGATATGTTAGATTGCAATGGTGTGGATATCCCAATGTTAGTTCACAATATCCTTATCAGCAGCTAATTGGAAGCTTAATGTATCTATCTATCCTAACACGCCCAGATATTAGTTTTAGTATCAGTTATTTAAGCCAATTTAATAATTGTTTTGCAGCAGTCCATTGGAGACATGCAAAGCGAATATTAAAATACTTAAAGAAAACTAAATCATATGGTTTAATGTATACTAAGGATAATAAAAATTTAGAAGGCTTTGTAGATGCTGACTGGGGCTTTAATAATATCGATAGAATGTCTTATACAGGTTTCTGTTTTAAATTTTCTGGAGCTGTAATATCATATGAGTGCAAAAAACAGCAAACTGTAGCACTGTCAAGCACAGAAAGTGAGTACATGGCAATATCAGAGGCCTGTAAGGAGGCAATTTATTTAAAAAGCTTAATGTACGAAATTGTTGGCTGTAATTATAAAATTATCCTGTACAATAACAATCAAGGTACTCAAAAATTAACAGAGAACCTTTTGTTCCATAGGAGAACAAAACATATTGACATTTGTCACCATTTTGTTAGAGAGGCTGTTGCTGGTAATATTGTTAAATAGTTTATCTGTCATCTTCTGAAATGCCAGCAGACCTTTTAACCAAGGGTTTAAGTAATAATAAACACAACCAATTTGTTAAACAATTAGGCATGCACAACATTGTTTGATGTTTACTTATTTTTTTTTTTGATGTACATTAAATAGTAGATAGAGTTGTGTACCTACTTGGGTTAATATAATATACAAGTTCTGTACAAATAATTTATACCATGTTTGGATTATTTCGATAAGTGGAGGTGTTATAGATTATCAAAATAATGTGTACTACTAGCTCTATTAGGTGTGAAATGGCAATGCTCATGTTTACTGTGGTAATGTAGAATGACTTGTACCTTTTAAAAATAATTGTCAGTCTTGTCACAACTAATACCGCGTTTCAATACTATATTCACAGATATTACACGAAAACGGTTTTTACCGGTGTGTATATCCATATGTGCTTGCAAATTACCTTTATTAATACATCTATATTCACAGATATTACACGAAAAAGTTTTTTTCACCGGTGTGTATTTTCATATGGGTTTGCAAATCACATTTTCTAATAAATCTATGTTCACAGATATTACACGAAAACGGTTTTTCACCTTTGTGTATTTTCATATGTTCTTTCAAACGCCTTTTTGTAATACATCTATATTCACAGATATTACACGAAAAAGGTTTTTCACCGGTGTGTATTTTCATATGTGTTTGTAAATAACTTTTTATAGTACATCTATATTCACAGATATTACACGAAAAAGGTTTTTCACCGGTGTGTATTTTCATATGGGTTTGTAAATAACTTTTTGTAGTACATCTATATTCACAGATATTACACGAAAAAGGTTTTTCACCGGTGTGTATTTTCATATGTGTTTGTAAATAACTTTTTGTACTACATCTATATTCACAGATATTACACGAAAAAGGTTTTTCACCGGTGTGTATTTTCATATGGGTTTTCAAATTACTTTTTGTAATACATCTATATTCACAGATATTACACGGAAAAGGTTTTTCACCAGTGTGTATTTTCATATGTCTTTGCAAGTTACTTTTTGTAATAAATCTATGTTCACAGATATTACACGAAAAAGGTTTTTCACCGGTGTGTATTTTCATATGTTCTTGCAAACGACTTTTTGTAATACATCTATATTCACAGATATTACACGAAAAAGGTTTTTCACCGGTGTGTATTTTCATATGCCTTTGGAAACTACTTTTTGTAATAAATCTATATTCACACATATTACACGAAAAAGGTTTTTCTCCGAAATGTATTTTCATATGTGTTTGCAAGTCACTTTTTCTAATACATTCATTTTCACAATTATTACAACAGTACATTTGTTTAACGACGTGCGCTTTAAGATGTGCCAAAATGTAACGTTTTTGAGATGTTTTGAATTCGCAAATATCACAATTAAACATTTCTGTTTGTTGTGGTACTGGAGTTTGTTCAACTTGTGTTCCAACTGCAGTGGTGTCTGAGTTCTTTTGCGTCTTATGACTGTATGAAATGTGTTTGGCGAGAATGTCTTTTGTTGAAAATTTTTTACTACAACCATCACATTCAAAAATGTACTTAGTTGACGTCCCAGATGTTTTTTTCTTAAGTATATTTACACTTTTTTGTATCAAAATTTTCTTTTTCATTATCTTTGCAGGATGCTTTCCTTTTTTATTAATTGGTTGATTATCTTGTTTCATTTTAGGGTTTGATTCAATAGGAGGGCTTTCCAAATCGAGGTCTTCTTCACGAACATCGTTTATGTTACAATCAGTAGAATTTGATTTAATCTTCTTCTCAGAAGTTTCTGAAAAATGATTTGTCGAAGTTTACTCCGTATAATGTCTCTCATATTAATTTTTGAGGGAAATAATGGTTCTTTTGACCGTGTTAGTAATAATCGCTGTTTCGAATTCCACACAGAACTAGTTTTATACACACGGTACAGTCGAAGTTGGCGTAAGTAAGGCATAATAAGAGAATTCATCATCAGATTTTGTCCCACGGGTTTCGTAAGAGGCGACTATGGGTTTTCCAGAAAAATCTGATGGCTTCCGGCAGATGGCGGTATAACCACCTCGTTTACTTCAGATGTTAAATATCCAGACCGACGCCAGGTGACATTGCCAGAGGTGCTCAGGTCTGGTTCTGCGATCGTCAGTCCTATGCCAAGCGTGACGCTCAAGGCAAATCCTCCCTACATCGGGAGAGATCCTTCCATGTTCAGCAGTGGAAGTTTACGGGAAGATTAAGATAAAGGAATTATTTGCAGGCCATACAAAGATTCAAAACTAGGCCTGGTAGTTCTGGGGCTAGGAGTTTGCCGTAAAATTTCACAGTACGCTAGCAGCCTAGGTGCGTTCTCCACCGGCACCCATGAAATAGTTAATTTTGTAAGTATGTATGTATGTATTTTGTATGTATGTATACATACATACATACACGCCGTTTCCGTCCTATCGATCCTAACAGCTTCGACGGAAACCGTATTGAAGGTCATTAGTCAGCTTATGCTTTTCAAAGTACCGCGTGAGCTGGCAGTTAATAATGGATTCCATTATTTTGGAGAACAAGGAGGTGACGGCTATAGGCCTGTAATTGGATAGGTCCCAGCCTTTTTTAGGAATCGTATGCACTAAGGTTGTCTTCCATAAGCTTGGAACGACACCTAAGGAGTAAGACATAAACATAAAAGTAACATGGACATAACACAACAACTGCATTATAACTTTGTAATCTATACTAATATAATAAAGTGGAAGGTTTTTTTTTCATGAGGAATAGTATAGGAATAATATAGCATTAGGCTACACCTCTCAGTTAACCTTAAATATTGATTTTTGCTAACCCGTCAAGTCAAGCGCTAGGCCATTGTACTTTTTACACGCCAAACGTCTAATTAAATACGCTACGATTCTCGAGAGGTACAATAATTTGAATACGAATCATTAAAGAGAACATCAAAATGGAGAAAAATTAAATGAGAGCTCCCTCTGTTTAAAAAATGTCTACCAAAGAGATACACAGCAACTTGGTGAAACATTCAGGGACTCTGCTCCTCCATATTCCACAATTGTACGCTGGGCCAAGGAGGTTAAGCTGGGCTGAACATCCACGGAAGATGAACATCGCGAAGGACACCCATCCACATCCCTCACTGAAGATAACGTGAAACCGCGTAGTATTTTTTTTTCTTATCTTTAAAAAAAAACGTTACCCCCACACTAGGATTTTCTCCTGTGTCGTGGAGGCAGTTTACAAACATAAATTGCACAAGGACAAACATCCAGACCCGGAACAATTATTTGTAGGCCATACAAATATTTGTTCCGTGCGGGATTCGAACCCGCGGCCCCCAGCGCAACAACTGATTGCTAAGCCACTGCGCCACGGAGCCGTCAATCAGTAAGGCATAACAAAAAGATTATTAATAGAATCAGGCGTTACATTGCAAAATCCATTATATTAAACACTAGCTGATAACCGCTCGCTTCGAATATAAAATAAGTTAATTAAACGCGATAAAATCCGTAAAAATAGTTTTATTCAATTTTGTAGTTATTATTAAATAAAGTAGAATAAAACTCAACCTTTTTTAGTTGTTTAACTATTTTCTGCAATTATCAGTAAAATGTAATGTGAAAAAACAGCCGGAGGCTGTACATTGTCTGTTCAATTCCTCTCAAAACTTATGTGGGCGCAACAAACTACTGTCCTGTGATCCGAGAGAAAATTCAAGGGCCAAGTTAACCGGTTCAATGCAGATGACACGCCAGGCGTGCCATCGATTACTTTTGTATTTTGTATTTTACTTTTTAAACAACATCGTTATAACTCGCTCAAATTGCGTTTTTGGAAAATTTATCCAGAACAAAATATTATTATTTTGCAAGTAGTTCATGCCTGCGGCTTCGTTTCTGGATATTTTGAAAATTTTAAATTTTTAGGGATTGACAACCTTTTTTTGAACTTGTACATGGTCCTCTTTTTAGTTTGTGGGTTTTCAATCATGTTGTGGAAAATTAGTCTAATAAGTAACAAATAATAGCACCCATTGCGGTCGCTCACAAACTCATGTTGTAAATAAATGTCTGGAAAACAAGTCTCCTGTTAAAAAAAAAAACAATGCGTTAGTCTTATTGTTTAATTTTGCTTAAAATGGTTGAACTGCCGTCTTATTACTATCATATGGCCGAATAGACCTACGAAGTACCATGTGCTCTTGTAATATGGTATAAGGTTTATTTTTGCTTGAAACAGTTTGAAACCGTTCATGCATAAAAAAAGTTCGCTAATAAATAGTCTTTTGTCAATCCGCCGCCGTATAGCGCCGGCGTTTATTTCCTCTTGAAAACACTTGTTTTGCTATTCTTACGTTTTCAAATCGACTTTACTATTACATTTGTATAACATTAAATAATATTTAACATTTGTAAATATTAATAAATTATAAACCTTATTTTTTTCCAAATTAAGATTCTTGATTGTTTGATGTTTACAAATATTATTATTAGGTGAAAATTTAATTTAATAAAAACCAAGGTTTTCCAGGGTGATTTAGCTGTACCTACTTATATAAATGATTTTTTTATAAAACAAAAAATAGTACAAAGTGTTTGTAATCTCTGGATAAAAAAGTCATTTACTCTCAATTTCAAAGAAAACACGTAGTTACCCAATAAAAACAAGTATCGTTCCGTTTGTAACTGATGTTTGATGTCAACTAAGCTTAAATAGGTCTAAACAACTTCTGTGGCGCTTGACACGCCAGACGTGTCATGAAATATTTGTTCGCAATTGGTGCCGCAACGAATCGGTTAAATAAATCCACGAAAGAAAAACACGAAATATATTTAAACAAAAACAGCTCCAATGCCAAATGCGTATGCCGCATGACAAGCTGAAACTCGAAGTTACCAAGTTAAGTCTCCTTCGGAATATGCAATGGTCAATGACCATACAGCCTATTCAGTCGTTAATATTCAAATATTGTTTAGTTTAATGACATAGCCTATTCAATCGTTTTCTAAATATATTATTTTATTCAATGTTAATTACTACAGATTCACGTCAATGTTTCAATATTATGTTTTTTTAAGGAAGGCTATTTTATTTTAAAAATAGCCTTTATTATCTATTGCCATAGATAAAATAAAGAAAGATATTTAAAAACTTTTCCTTTTTACTAAAGCCAAAACATTAGCTTTATATTTCAGTTTTAAAAATGTTTTTATCACTGTCCCAAGCATTACAGAGATAAAAACCATTTATTTATGCTTATAATTTATCATTTTATTACCTACATATTTTTGTATGACTGTTAGAAACGATGTCAAGCACCCAATTTCATACATCTCCTTTGTGGTGATTTCGTTTTATTTTTTGATAAAGGTTTTTTAACATAAATTCATTTACCTATGTCATCGTCATCCTTTTTGCTCTTTGAACCAAATGCAATTAGCGGCAAATCGTTCTCCGAATCCGTATGTCTAACTTCAAAAGCATCAATCTCCAAATCTTCTTGTTTTTCAGCACTCTCTAGAATGAAACAGATTCTGACTCAATATATAAAATAATAATTGATTTTTTTTTCAAGCGACTAGATCATTACATTCCACCACAAAGCTTATGGGCCTGAGCCACCCATTTTCATTACCATACTGCATGTTTCATAAGCTAAGTGTAATATTAAGCAAAAATGGGCCGAAGAACTGACAACCGACGGGAAAGAGAGTTTTTCGAGTGGCAACATCGTACCGGTAGACGTAGTGTAGGGCGGCCCCCACTAGATGGAGTGACGACCTGGTAAGACATGCAGGAAGTCGATGGATGCAGGTGGCTAAGGCCCGTGCTTTGTGGCATTCCTAAAGAAATTTGCAAAGACAGATTGCTTACCAGTTGTAAGTACAGTAGAGCGTCGATTATCCGAACTAATTGGGGGACATGGGTGTTCGGAAAACCGGTATTTTCGGATAATCGAACTTCCTCTATATATTGATTCAGCTATACATATTTACGTACAGGTAAATGATAACCATATTTATATTTACATCTTTAATGACAAATAGGAATTAAACAAAAAAAGTGCAGACAATTTTGTGGTAAAACATAGTTTACTAGGTACAATTAACGTTTAAAAAAATCTTCCATCTTCGTCTGCCGAAGTAAGCCTACCCGCTTACGAGCGGCTAAGTCACGTACTTTTTTAAGGACAGATATTTGATACTGGTCGCTTTCGGCCTGTGTTTCAAACCAACGCAAGGCAATATCTAAACAAGTAAACGCTTCAGAAGCACCAATTATGTTTTCATCTTCATTATCTGAACTTGTAGTTGATGAGGTGCTCTTGGTGGCGTCAGCCTTATTAGTCATGAGGTCTAAAATATCGCTATCCTGCATAATTTGGTACCCGGGATCTTCATCGTCGATATTCATCCATTGTTGAACTTCTTCTTCATCACATTCGTGGCAATCGAGATTTTTTAGCATATTTATCATTTCAGACATATCTTCCTGTCTCTCATTTACACATTCACTTTGAGGATTTACCCCCATACACAAAACTTTATTCCACGCTTTTCTCAAGTTCTGCTCTTTTACACTGTCCCATGCTGCTCTGATCATGTAGGACGCATCTTTTAAATCAATCTTTTTATGATTTTTTATCAGGCTTTCTTCTCCCTCCTCTTCTTTTTCCAAAAGTAACTTACGTAACAATTCTTTTCTATAATACCGTTTGAAAGACTCAATAACGCCTTGATCCATGGGCTGTAATAATGAAGTCACGTTAGGTGGAAAAAACATGATTTTTATAAAATCGTCTTTTTCATTTAAGATGTCCAATGATGGATGAGTTGGGGCATTATCAAGAAGCAATAACGTTTTCTCTCTTTTACCATTTTTTAATTGATGGGTTTTTACAGAGGGTATAAAAGTTTCTGTAAACCATTTCATGAAAATTGTACTATCCATCCAAGCATTTTTTTGCGAAGTGTAAACGATAGGCATCGCAGACATATTAACGTGTTTGAAACAACGTGGTTTCTTGCTTTTACCAATCACAAGCATGGGCAATCGGTGGCTGCCAGTAGCATTAGCACATGCTAAGGCAGTGATACGGTCCTTGCTTATTTTAGGACCAGGTGCTGCTAATTCACGACGTGAAGCAAGAATTTTTCGTGGCAAAGCTTTCCAATTGAGCCCGGTTTCGTCTGCATTATAAACGTTTTCGAGAGCGTAATTTTCTTGCTTCAGCATATCCCTTAGTTTGATTTTGAATGAATCAGCTGCTGATGAATCAGCAGATAGTTTTTCACCTTGTATATGAAGCTCACGAATGCCATGTCTTGACTTAAATCGTTTTAACCAGCCTGTGCTTGCTTGAAAATTTGACGGTCCTCCAATTTTTTCGTTAAATTGAACTGCTTTTTCACACAGAATTGGGCCAGAAATTGGTTCTCCCTGGGATCTTTTTTGAGTAAACCACTTATATACAGCATCATCTAAATTCGTGTTTGAGGCAAGTTTCATCGTTTTACGACTCGTGGATCCGTCAGAAGAATCAAGCTGGGATATAAAGTTAGTTATGTTCGTCTTTTGTTTTTTTATATCTGTAATGGTAGACTTACCAACTTGGTATTCAAGGGATAACTTGGTTGCAGATTCGCCTTCCTCTAACCGTTTATTTATTTCGTATTTATCTTTCATAGAAAGGACAACACGTTTACGTTTAGACATATTAAATCGAGATTATACTTTCATGCGGCAAAATTTCATTTATCGGCTAGCGGTTACTTGGAACTGATACACGAGTACAATTAACAAGTCGCGACAAGTGCACGAGCAGCGAGCACTGTAGCGCGGGAGGCGGGAGAGAAGCACGCGCGGGTCGGGCGGGTGTAGTAGTTCGGATAAGCGGTCGTTCGGTTAATCGACGTTCGGATAATCGACGCTCCTGTATATCATTAATACCTGTGAAATTAATCCATCTTAGTGACATACATATTGGCTGCATTTATACAGGTTCAAAATATTTTAAAAATATATTAATGCATAAGTAAAAAAAAGTCTACAGAAGCTCATTATTTTACATTTACAATTATTTATTTATTTAAATAAACAACTATCATGACAAGAATAACCTAATTCTTCTCATGCATAACAAAAATGTGGTCATTAACTGTAACAAATGTAATTCATTCATTCAGTGTCATTAAGTGCAACAGAATAAGCCGATGTCTTTCTATTAAGAATGCGTAACGTTCGCGTTAAAGGTGCCTTGTCGAGTAAATTGGTACCCGTCTGGAACACACGGCCTAATCCGCCCCAATATGTCACTATAATATTATTTTGTGTCCATAGACTACAGTAACCACTTGCCATTAGGTAACTTGTAGCTTATTTTAATAATATCACAAAATATGTATATCTTACCTGTTTCATGATTCCCACTTTCTTCAAATTTGGAATTCTCATTTTCGAAATTCTCTTCCTCAACTTTAACAGATTCAAGGCTAAACATTTCGTTCTTACAATCATTTTCTCCATCAGTATCACACTCTACTGGCCTGATATCTATATGACTAATTGGTGTGAATTGAATCTTATATCTAGCCTCATGCGGTTTTGGTATTGACTGAAACCAAATTCTTTTGTTAAATAAGAGAAAAAGCCAGTGTAGTGGTGCCGTAGGAGAAGCCATACTACCATACCATCCCACAGATGTCGTAAAAAAAGGACAGGGAGAAACTTAAACAGGAGATGGGCAGCAGCATCTTCCTGACAACAACTCCAAATAGTAAAAAAAAACAGACAAAAGGAGGGTTCCCAATAAAATTAAATAAGAATGTATATAGTTCATCCATCCCGAGCATCGAGTCTCATCAATTTTTCGAAAAAGATTCACGAATGCTGTAAATTGACAAATATCTTTGTTGATTTTTGTTTACTGAGTAATATTACATATAGATAATATTTCGTTTGTATACAATAGAGTATAAAGAACCGTGGTAGCTCAGATGGTTAGTGCTCGATGTAAGCTTCATAGTACGCGAGCACCCCAGGTTCGATCTCCGCCGGCACCAATGAAATTGTTAATTGCAATTTTAAGGAAAACATCGAGAGGAAACCCGCATGTCCAAGAAAATAGAAAAAAAATATTTCAAAGATATGTGAAGTTCGCCGACACGCATAGGAGCAGCACGGCGGATATTTCCTTGCCCTAAAACCTTCTCAGAAATGAGAGGAGGCCTGTGCTCAGCAGTGGGACGTATATAGGCTGCAACTTTACTATACAATAGAGTTAACAGTATAAACAGTTAGACAATTGTTTTTGGAAACAACACATACTTAACTTACTGCAAATAAGTAGTAACATACTAGTTAGTAACATTGCTCTAACGAAAAAGTAAATTGGATTGAACGATAAACTTAACTTTACAATGGAAAAAACACACTAACTAAAAGTATAATACCATGGACCGTGTAGTGGCAGAGTAAGAATATCCACTAGCCTATATACCTTACCCACGGGACGGGTGTCGTAAGAGACAACAGAGGGAAACAAAAACAGGAGTTGGGCGGCAGCATCTTCCTGATAACAGCTCAGACTAATATAAACTGCGGGTACCAACCTGCCAAGCGTGGCAAATTTGGCAAAACCTCTCGTATATGAAGCAATCTATGAGGGACTTTTATAGGTTTTAATTAATGGAACGGATAATACCATGGACCCTCCTGCAAGCAACTGCTCCAGAACTGCATTAGACTCAATAGCCTGCTGTTGTAATGTTCTGCAACGAATGAGTCTTGCATGACAGGTGAAACAGACAATTATGGGCTCCTCATCCTCATCCATCTGAAAATATGAAAGATTGTCATAAATATGGAAAACTACTTAAATATACAAGTATGTAATAAAAACTATTGGCTACCACAATTCTCTTCAACAACATCACTTTTTTATAACATTTAAGTGACAAATAAACTTAGGCTACGGTCTCCTATTAAATGCTATACGCGACGTCCGACTTTAGCGTAAACGTTCCGATCGACGTCTGAACGCCAGGCACAGCGTCAGCGGTCAATACATATCTTAGCAGCAGACGGCGTCTCGACTTTCGATCACACAACAGTTAAGTAGCCGACAGTGCTCGCGTGTGGTTGTATGTGATATTTGTATATAAAATAGACATAAATTCAACACTTTTGGCTGCGCTTGTGTTAATTGAAAAAGAGGCACAAGACAACCGTATACGAAAAAAATAAAGGCAACAAGGCACCGATTATTTATGAAGAGAAATGAAGAAGGATGTTTCCAGCTATTGATAATGAAATAAACATTATTTTTATGTTACTTGTCACTTTTATTGTATATTGCAATATAACATTTATTTGACTCAATCAATAACTCGTCTTTTTCTTTATTAAATTTTGCCATTTTGTACTGACGCCAGACACGACCTTCACGCTGCAATGGTTCTAAATAACTAGAGACGCAGCGCAAAGCGTCTGAACGTTGCCTACGACATCCATACGCCGACATCAGCGTGTGAAAGAGACCACAACAGTACATTTCTATAGCAAGCATCGTGAAGCTAGGGTCCCACGGCCTGCCAGGCGACAGGCCGCGCCAGGCGTTGTCCCGCCTGTATGGGCCTGTCGCAGCCCGTACTGAGCGTTCCCACGGCGTGTGCCGGCCTGGTGCGGCCTGTCGACTGACATTCCAACATGTGAAGTGATACAGAGCGCATGGCTGCGTGTGCGGCCGCGGTGGTTTTATTCAGTGGTGAACGTTTGATAAACCAAGCAAAAAGAAAGCAGAAAAAACGACGCTGGTGGGTGTCATCATTCAACAAAAGCCGTTCTTGTTTTTATGTTGAGGTGACGAACTATTCCAAAGCGCTGCTTCATTTTCATAAAGAGTTAAAAACTCGAATATAAGCTCGTTCGTCCATTCCATCATGAGCATGTACGCGCAAGCGCCACCGCAGTTGAAATGAACAATTGCAACCGACGCAGACGCGCCCGTACAGGCCGCGACAGGCGTCGTCGCGCCGCGCCCCGCCGCGCCTTTGATCTTACCGACTCCCGATGGATCGGACGGGCGCCAACAGGCCACCACAGGCCTTATCGGATGCGATGGTTCCCACGGCCTGTTGTCCGGCCTGGCGCGGTCTGACCTGTGACAAAACAGGCCGTGGGACCCTAGCTTAACGCAGCGTACGGCGTGACGCTGTAAGCGGCCGATGGCGTTTATAGGAGACCACCGCCTTACAAACCACCTGATGGTAACTGGCTGCTGCAGCCCATAGGCACCTGCAACGAACTTCAAGCAAAGGCTACAGATGTGAATTTACCTCTGAGGACTAAGATGTAATGCTTCAAAGCCTGTTATTATACTGGCTCTCAATGTCCTTCACACTGGGACACATACTGCTGCTGGTGGCAGAAATAGGCAAGAGGATGATAACTACCCAGACAGACTCCTAGGCAGAAAAAAGTCGTACCACCTAGTGAATCATCATCACTGCAACAACACAGTCTTAAGCCACCTACATCCATCGACTTCCAGTGTAGCCACATTGCCACTATCCAGTAGGAGGCCACTCAACAATTTTCTTGCCAGTATGAGGCTTTCAAAATTCAATCTTACTAAACCTACTTTCAAGTTTTAACTACTAGCATCACTATTAACATTACAAATACTTCTCTTACTTGCTCCAAGTAAACTGAAAATGTTTGTGCAATACAACAATAGACAAATGGCAGAATTTAACTTAATACTTTCTTGAGTTTGCAGTTTACACCCTTAACTATTAGGCCATTGTCACTTAGTTTCAAATGGAAGTTAATAACAATATACATCCCCTAGCAGTTTTAACCTTTTAATTTAATATAAATTGCAGTATGAAGTAACTAACAGATGGGTTTGGACATCTAACAATTTAATTAATAGAATCAGGCGTTACTTTGCGGAAATCCATTATATAAAAGCTTTTAGAAAAATTTACTTCGCAAATATCCGCGTTATAAAATAAAATGATGTGTCTTACCTAGTATGAAGAGCACCTCCCGCCCTCCCTCAATTGCGTGCACTATCCCCGTCACCACTAATCACAGCACCGCTACTCCCAACACCACTACACTAGGCAAGACATCGAAAAATCCAAATTTATCGAAAGCCAACTCACACCGACACGGTCATCCCCGCGTCATCCATCCGTGGCAACATAAAGTAGCCGCTTTTTATTGTTACATTAACCGTTTGTTCACTGTCTCATTAAGTAAAGAAAATTATTTAAAAGAACTTTATATAATTTATCAAATAGCGGTCTCTAACGGTTTTTCAAAAAATCTCATTAACAATTTAATTAAAAAGAAACAAAAGCATGTTGTTCACAACTCTCTGTCGCGGTTCAACCTCAAAGTGTTCATCGATATGTTAGCAGTTTGACCTACTTAGGCCCCATATCTGAAAAAGTAGCTAATACTCTTCGACAAAACGGCGTTCAAAACAAACAATTCTCTTAGAAATATCTGTAATAATAAAGATAAGTTGGATATTCGTCAAAAGCAGGGCTCCGTCACTCGCTCAAATCCCTGCGTTATATGCCTACCGTTTTGCGTATCGCCCACGATACAACCGACATTGGGCTGCCGCACGCCCGCCTGAGCGCTTGCACCGCACACGTTTCCCGCGCTTACTCGTCGAAATGCCGAAACCACGCAATTATTGTGCAGTGGATGGGTGTCAGAGGCAAACAACAAATGAAAAATTGTCTTTTTTTCTTAACTATAAGATTACATCGAAACAAAGCATAACAGTGCTGTAATTTATAAATTGAGTGACAACCAATTTCAACGATAAAATTTAATAACCGAGAATTCAATTTGAAGGAAAAAAATGTATACATCATTTTATAAAACAAACATATTTTATTGAAAAATAAAGAATATGGTAATTTCGCAAGATTCGTATTATTACAATAATCATCATAGGTACAACCCTAGAGCATTCGTGCGATGACGCGCTTGCACGTGAGTCGCACGGCAGTCAACACAATCTCGACTCTTTATGCGCGGATTTATGGTACATTTTCCTCTCGCTGCGAACAGTAGATATTATTATTAAGATTTTGTAGGCTATTATAGCGTAGGTATTGGCTAGTAGGCTATTTTCGCTTTTGTATGGGAGTGATGTATCTGTTTAGTAAACTATTAACTAATCTGTGTCAAAAGTCAGGTGTTTACAAACTTGTTTGTGACGAATGCCACGCCGTTTACGTGGGTCAGACTGGTCGCAATTTCGAGACACGTTATAAAGAGCATTTAGCCGCGTACAGGAATTGCAATCCCGATAAATCCCATTTTGCCAAACATCTTTTGGACACTGGACACAACCTAGCCAACGACCACTCCTTTAAAGTCTTACATACGTGTAATAAAGGGCTGCGGCTGTGTGTGCTGGAACAGTTAGATATTAAAAAGTAATAATAATACCGTTGCATTGCTGAATGAACAAACAAATGTTACTAACTCACCTCTCTTAAATATCTTTAAGCCTGCTCTCTAATAATAGAGAGCCTCGCAATATGGTCGTTTGTCACACTCACGGTGATCGGTTGCGTGGTTGGAGGGTGGGCGTTGCGCGGCGGTTTGTTTTTAATTTTACAAACGGCTGCGTAAGTCCAGCGGTGATTGGTCGCATGTTTTATCGCATGACGCAGTCGCTCGCTCCTTAAGTAGAGAGCGGTTGCATCATCGGTCTGTATAAAAGGCACTTGTTTTGGCTCGCCGCTCACTTAGCGGTTAGCCACCGTAGAGTCTATATCACCTGAGGATGCCTCGTGTAGAGACGAAACACGTGTCGTATTATCGTCAGTGGTGTGTCTTGCCTAGTGTAGTGGTGTTGGGAGTAGCGGTGCTGGGATTAGTGGTGACGGGGATAGTGCACGCAATTGAGGGAGGACGGGAGGTGCTCTTCATACTAGGTAAGACACATCATTTTATTTTATAACGCGGATATTTGCGAAGTAAATTTTTCTAAAAGCTTTTATCTAACAATTTGATTATTTTATCTCATAAGGATATGGGCAGTAGCATTTTCTTCACAACAGGTCAGAATAATAAAAAAACTGCAGTTACCAACCAGCCTGCTTAGCGTGGCAACTATGGCAAATAATAATAATAATACAAGATATGATACTAAAAATATAAAATAGAATGATTTTTTATTCAATTTAGATCACATGTGTAATTCTTATTGAAAGTCATTTTTTTACTTTACCACTGGTTCGAAAAAAAAACCTCTGTCCTAGGAAGAACCGGCAAAAAACCCAGCGGGACTTTTTTTTAAAGTAAATTTTACATCAATGGTTGTACAAATTATTTACAAAATTTATTTTAGAACTGCTTAGAAGTGACCACCTCATTCCTAGGAGGTATTATCAACCATATATTCATTTATATTATCCGTTTGTCTGACGATCGGCCAGAATCAGGCCGATGAATTATCATGCGCATCTGTTAAGCGACCAGATACTGGCCGATCCATGACTGAGTATTTATATATTTGGTGGGTAATATTAACGTCGACAATGATTGCTATCCCTTTTTCACCTATAGAAAATTATAGACCAATGAATGAGAACCCGATACAAAGCTATTAAAGCACATCAATGATTAGAAATTTCGAATAAACAGCATGTGTCGCAGTCGTATGTTTTTTTTTTTTATTTACCAACATTTACAAAAACATAACATTATTTTAAAACTTCGCCAAACTGTAAAGACAGTTTGTTGGCGAATAATTGCACTCTTGCATCCTATTACATAATTAAGTACCCCACCCACATA